CAGGACTCAGGAGAGGTCTTCCTGGCACCTAGCAATCTGTATATAGACGTTCAGACCTGGCCTGAGGACAGGCACAGGTAGACAGACCAAAATCCATGACCTATTTCACGATCCTGCCAATCCAACAGAAGTGTTGCTTACCTACGGCGTTAGCACCGCCACGATATAAATTCTCGACCAGTTCACGATAAGCGCTTTTGAGGGGATTAAAAACGGTGAGATCGCACAGTTGGAGCTTATGCGAAGTATGGGACGGAAGTCAGCACAGAATGATGTTGTTCTCAAAACAAAACTGGAGGATCTCCTCGGTCGTCGCTACCCGGCGGTGTTAATTCCGCGCACTTTTATCGGCTAAGTTTTGGCACCTCTGGGTGTCCGCAATCGCGTTCTATTTTGGGCGCAGGCTGCTGCCTAATTTGAGGGGAGCGGATTCATTAAATGTTCTACTAGAGCAACTCTTGACTTCAGGGAAAAACACTCCAGGGCAAAACCTTCACTTTAACGAGAGACATTGGTCAACCATTATTACTATGTGAAATTTTTACAGGGTCGAGAATGTTTTGCTTCACATGTTGTGCAGCATGTCAAAGAGAAATTACAACCTCGAGAGTTTTTGCAGCATCAAGCTTCGCCTGGCATGATGGCAAATATGTGCTGTACGTGTCTTCCATGAACGACCGAGAGTGGAAAGAGCTAGCCGAGGTGATACAACACGATAGGACGGAACATGAGGATTGGAAGATGGGATATTATTGTTCCGCTACCAAGGATTTGGAAGGAGTTCAGCATCTTCTCTACGACGGTCCTTTTGGAACAAATTCAAAAAATTACTACGAAAGCTGTGATCAAAGACAGAGGCGTACCGCGTCGCAGGAGCTCGAAGACACATTAAGAGATGCCAAGTATGATCTGGAGAGTCTGACCCGAGCTGAGCCCATTTTGAAGGAATCAGCCAGCTTGAGCTCCATTCCCTGTGGATTAAATCAGTTTGTGGCGGAGACGTTAAGGCGTGGTCCCGTCGAAACCTTGGACTTCATTCTTCGACACTCCGACGATCATGACAGCTTTTATAGGTTGAAAGATATGTTCCTGGAAGACATCAAGCGCCAAGTGGCAGGGCTGCAAAGATGGAGTAAAGATCGCCAAAGCTCGGAGGAACCTGACGCCTCTTTGTTTTTTGCTAATATCCCAAATGTTGCCTTCGACCTATTGAAGAAATACTCTTATCCGAAAATATATGTCCTAGCGAGAGGGAATGAACGATATCAGGGGTGTCGCTGGCTAATGGAGGCACGATCACCATTTTTTGAGAAAAGATCCGCGGCGGCAGAGTCCGGCATGCTAGCATCCGACCCGAACAATGTGGACATGACCGACATTGACCCCGAGACATTGAAGTGGTTGTTGCGGGACCTTGAAATGCATCCGAAAATGAGAGACTGGTCCAACCTTCGCATACGCGACGATTTCCAGGCTATCATAGCAGCTGCGGATGAGTACCGGATGCTGGATCTGAGTGTAGCTGCTGAAAAAATTTGAGCAATTGGCTTATTGTTATTGTAATGCAGGGCCGGGGTTGAGCTGTGACTCAATGGAGGAACATGACGAATTCTACAGGATCCTGGGGACCGTCTGCATATGGATGGCTGAGAAATCATGTCAGATAATTGCTTGTCTGCCGGGAAATAGGACTGAATATACTCCAGGCCCTCTTGGAGGCCGAGGTGATTCGCAGGCGGGGCAATAGGTTGTTCTGATAGCTCTCAATCGTCTCCAGCAGAGGAACAGAGGATTTCGGTGCATACTGAGCGAGTTCTAGCGAAGCCTGAGTAGTATCTGCCGGAAAGAACTGCGTGGCAAGAAAATGAGCTAGGAGGTAGGCGATTGGTGACAACGAAACCAAGCATTACGGGTATTAGGAATGTCGCACTAGTATTCCGGCCGTGTGGATAGTCGCCAAATGTACCTTGCATCGCCTTATACAACCCTCCGTGTCGTCACGAACCTTCAAAATAATTGGTTCGAAGCCAGCCCGATATAGCTTTACATGTTTATCATTCATTTTGAGGGTTCAGAAGGCTCATTCGAAGTGTGGTGGCGACAATGTGCGGGTTGGTGTTCGGTGAAGATTGGTGCGAGAAGCTTTCACCACCTTGAGGAAGTGGTGATTGGTAATTTTGGTATGTGGCGGAAGGCTTTGATTGGATGACTCTCATAGAGAATCCTGAGCCTATGTATGAGTTCGGGATGTGGGTTAGTAGATTTACACTGACCATTTCTATAAAGGGTGATAGGGAAGAGTAAGAAGAGCAAATGGGCCGAGAAAGGAATACGGAAGGATATCGCTCCGGATCCTCTACTCTACCCCCGGGCTGCAAATACGTTGTTCTATTTTGACCATATTCGGTTCATGAGGATAATGAATCCCCTACATCTACTAACCCACATCCCTATGCAATGAAACGCCCTGTATCGTGAAACAGGCAGGTAGTCTCTCGAACGGAAACACTTATCCTTCGCCACAACTAGGTTTCGTCCACTAGATACACATTTCTCGGCGATTCGAAGCCACCTGGGTATCACATGGCCGACTGCCGTACATACATACCTGAATCTAATATCCAGAGACCATGATTTCAGCGACCCATCGAAAACGGAGGCACGACAGATCCTCGACTCAGAACACCAATTCGCATTTTGCTCCATTGCTGACTTGCTAGACATAGGGCATCCTATAACTTTATCTTATCCTACCGATTTTTATACTACTACCTGTAGTTGTCGTAGTCTGTGCTGCTATTTCAGGGTGCAGAGAACCCTTTGTGGAGTACTGCTACGGCGGGTGGAGAACCCCGCAATACGATCGCGGGGCTTGGCACCGAATCCCCTGTATTGCCATTACAAAGTCCGCGGAAAATAGATTTTGCGTAAAATCTTGCACGTGAAAGCTCTGGCTGGTGCGAGGTTAGCAATTAACGATGCAGATTCAATGGAATATAACATCTGAGCTGAGAACCATTGTACTGTATTCAAGAAGGAGTGTAGAAACGGGGAATTTAAGCTTAGCGAAGCGGTGTGTTCGTCTCCCTTCGCACTATCACGACCAAGAATATCATCTGGGAGAGCTTCACGTGCCTGCGGCGTTCATCGAGGCGGTTGGCTCTACGGAGGAAGGCGAGGTCAAAAAGGCAATTACACAAGAAGTCTACCTGCGGTGTGGATGCTGGGATAAAGTACGACGTGAGCAGGCGGTGATACGCTCGACTGAGGGGCGGACCCAGAAGTTGAGCTTTCTTTAAAACACTTCAGCTACGATTGTTTCACGTTGATTCAGTCCCCAATTCGCAGAAGCCAAGCACCTCATAGTCGAATGACATATATGCCCTTATTCGGCCTCATTGCTCGTCCATTAAATGTCACTGCAATAATGGACAAGAAGACAGCGGTATCTTTTTAGCCCCACAGCGTGATTGCAGTCGCTTTCGCTTTCCAACGGACGGCATCGTCGACCTCCGTCGCCTCCTCGGCCAGTTTCATGTAGTAATCATGCTCTCTCTGCGCAACAGCCTTCTTCTTTGCCTCAG